CAACAGAGCCCACCTCCCTAAACAAGTAGAAGGAGCCTGGAGCGTGACTTTGGAGTTCATCAGAGGGACGTTTAACTGTCCTTCTGCAGCTCACGAGCTCCGTGACCTCGCATATGTCACTCCTGCTCTCTGAGCCTCAGTTTCTTTCAGCAATGTGGGCACTTCCTATCTCAAAGGTTTTTGGGCAGCTTTTTTCAAGCGATGAAGGCAAAGTCCCCGCACAGTGCCAGGACGTGGTCAGGACTCGGGTTCACTGGCATCTCTTCGTGTCACCTCCCCCACAAAGACCAGCAGAAGGTGCACTTACTGTGCATAGTGACCCCCGACGACCGCTTCTTGCTGCCCTCTTCCCTGGATGTGTAGAGAGCAGGATGTGGCCAAGAAGGTGGGATCCTGGCACCGCCACTGGCCGTGAAACCTGGTTCCTGGCCTGTAAAGTGAGGAGCCGTAGTCAACGCCTGCCAGCTGGTTGCAAGGAGGGAGGAACAGGACAGGGAATGGCTGAAGCAGAGCCCTGGACGGGGAGGCACTGGTACTCTGTCCCTCCTCTGTCCTCCTGTCCTCCCTTCCTCAGGGACTGGACCCAGTCAGGCTGAGTGTCGACTAGTTACATGTTTCAGATTTCTCCTAGAATTAGAAACTTTTTCAAACCTAAGAAAACCGGGGCACTTGGGTGGCTCAGCCAGTTAAGCATCCAACTCTTGATTTCGGCTCAGGTCCGGTTTGTGAGTTCAAGTCCCGAATCGGGCTCTGTGCTGATAGTGCGGCGTCTGCCTGGAATTCTCTGTCTCCCTCTCTCTGCCCCTCCCCTGCTCACACGCACGCTCTCTCCCTCTCTCAAAAATAAACGAACATATAAAAAATAAAATCTAAGAAATCTCTATTAACTGAAATGCTTAGGCCAATGAGCTGTTCTGCTTTCTTAGCTCCCTAATTGCTGGCTCGCAACAGGGCCTGGAAGATAGCAGCCCTCGGTATAAACATTAACGTGATAGAAGGTAAAGTAAAAAGTCTCTTTTCCCCCACAGCCCTTCTTGTGAAGATGGTTCCAAAAGGCAGTGGTCCCTTCCTCCCTTTAGTAAAGAGGGTGTGGAAACTTCCAGAATGTTTCTTGCCTTTGAGGATTTGTAACACCTCATAGTCACCACGCAGGCTAATCCGAGAGGATGTAGGTGTGGCACGTGCAGGAAATGAGGAGACCCTGCCTGCACCCTGGACATGCTCTGGCAACTACCTGCTTTGATTTTCCGTCACATCCTTTACTTTGGTTTGGTTTACCTCTGCCTCTTTCTTCTCACTGCCGCATACGGCCCCCTAGTCCTCTTGACGGGTTAATGAAGGCCCTGTCTCCAGCTGGATCCGGTTTTCCCGGTTGTCAGCCTTCAGTTCAGCTTTAATGTTGCCCTAAAACCGTGTGAAGGGTTATGAGTAAATGCTGGGGATACGGTAGGATTTCAGAAACTCCCTGCAGTGCTGTCATCTCTGAGGTGCCCCGGTCAGTCCAGTGCGTGTCCTCACCAGGTGAGGACTCATCGTCAGGCAGCGTCTGGGCAAGAGGCCACCTCTCTCTGCCTTTCCCGTCAGCACACCGTAGATGTGGGCCCAGAGGGACTGCAGGAACTCAGGGTGGTGACTCCTGACTTTGGGGTGACTCAGGAACTGGCCTCAGACCTGGAGAGAGTGGTACCCTTGTCGCACAGAGTCTTCTACAGGCCCACGCCTCCCTGGTGCCCCTGCGAAGGGGTGTGCTCTGTCTGCAGCCCGAGCAGGAGAGCTTCCGGTCTGGCTTCAGAGCTCTCTCCCCGGGCTCTCTTGAGCCTTGGAAGGGGTCCTCTGCGGGGCAAAGGTTTTTGTCACCATGCACGGGCTCCGGGGGGGCTACTGTGCCAACATGCACCGTGGCTCAGGCACAAAGGTGAGATCGCCCCAGGTGAGGGTCTGCGTGCGCTGGCCTGAGTTGCTTAAATAGAAATAGAAAGTCCAGAAAGAGTCCCAGAAACACACAAATTTAGGACACAGCAGAGGTCACTTCAGATTGGTAGAGAAAAGACAGTTCATTAACGAAATGGATAGCTTGCTGCCTAGGAAAAAAAATAACTGAATCCTGACTCTTGAACTTCACTTAAAAAAAAATTGTAGATTAAAGATTTAATGGTAAAAATGAAACTAAAATTACAGGAAGAAAATATGCAAGAATTGTTTTTAGAAATCTTGAAGAGGGGAGGTCTTTCTCAGCCTGACAGAAGTAAGAGAAGCTCTACGGGATATAGGTACAGACCAATAGATTTCTGCACGAACAAAGCCAACATGAAAGTCAAAAGAGAAGTGACAAACTGGAAAAAACGAATGTCTATTTCCAGATAATAGATTAATTTCCTTACTTTTATTTATTTATTTTTGAGAGAGAAAAAGCACTTATCAGGGAGGGGCAGAGAGAGAGGGGAGAGAGAATCCCAAGCAGGCTCCACACTGTCAGCACAGAGCCCAACGTAGGGCTTGAACCCACGAACCGTGAGATTATGACCTGAGCCCAGGTAGGATGCTTAACCGACTAAGCCATTCAGATGCCCTGATTTCCTTAGTTTTTAATATATTTCTACAAATCAAGTACAGAAAAAATCAGTACCTCCAGAGATAAACACCCAAAGATATAGAGGGATAATTGCTGGAAAAGGAGCTATGGATGTCCCCCACACATGTGGCCCCAGAGCGTATGGACAAGACAGCTGGGCTGAATCCCGGCTCCGTGCTTACATATGTGTGACCCTGCAAGTTGTTCATGCTAGAGGCTCAGCCTCCTGAGCTGTAAAGTGGGGGTAATGATAGTCCCTTTTATTAAATGGGTCACCAAGTCTAAAGCCTGTAGAACATGGAGTGGGGCAGGAATCACAATGTAAATACCTGATAGATAAGGAGCGCCTAGGGTGGCTCGGCTGGCTGGGCATCCAGCCATTGGTTTCAGCTCAGGTCATGATCCCAGCGTCGTGGAATCAAGCCCTACATCGGGCTCCGCCCTGAGCAAGGAACCTGCTTAAGATTCTCTTTCTCTCTCTCCCGCTCGCACACGCACACGTGCTCTCTCTCGCTCAAGTAAAAAATATAAATAAGTACTTCACAAAACCTGAAAAGGTGCTGGAGCTTCCGCTGTGAGTGGGGTGCTTTTACAATAGGAAGTGTGCAGTGATAAGCCATTTCTCTGCAGTTGTTGCTGACAGTGTGACAAATCTAGCACTCGTGGCATTGATGGGAGTATAAATGTGTGTTAGACTTCCAAACACACATATCCTTTGACCAAGCAGTCTCTCTTGATAACTATCCCAGAAATGATGCACATATGGGGGTATTCATGCAGTACTATTTGTAAAAGCTGGAATTGGAAATAGTCATCGTGCAGCAGAGACCTAGTTAAATAATTTGTAATATGTCCCTAACCTGGATGATCATGCGGCTTTTAAAAAAAGAGGCAGGTCTAAATATCCTGATGTGAAGCAGTCTCCTGTATACCTGTAAAACGTACCTCGTTTTATTGTGCTCCCCTTTATTGCACTTGGAAGATCCTGCATTTTTTGCAAACGGAAGAAGGTCTGTGGTAACCCTGCGTCGATCAAGTCTGTCAGCGCCATTTTTCCAACAGCATTTGCTCACTTGGTGTGTCTGTGTCATATTTTGGCAATTCTTGCAATATTCCAAATTTTTTCTTTATTATTATTTTACGGTGACCTGTGATCAGTGACTGTAACTCACTGAAAGCTCAGATGATGGTTAACATTTTTTTTTAGCAGTTCTTTGTAATTAAGGTATGTACGTTTTTTAGACATAATGCTATTATATACTTAATAGACGAGATAGCATAGTAAACGTAACTTTGGTATGCCCAGAGAAACCAAAAAATTCACTTTACTCACTTTATTGCTGTGGTCTGCAACCAAACACATGAGCTCTCTGAGGTATGCCTGTATATTAAGTAGTAAGAGTAAGGTGTTGAACAAGATGTACAAGAATTCCGTTTGTGAGAGAAGGAAACTGGCCTCAGAGGGACATCCAGAAAAGTGGTACCAGTTGCCTCTGTGTTGGGGGGGGGGGGGCGCTGGGGCTGAAGGTGGGGCAGAACGCGTGAGTTGTCATGGATCATAATCTGAAAAAACTTACCTGATGACGCTACTGTGAGGCATAAAGCCTCCTCATAGAGGTTGGGGACAGGGAGCAGCCAGGTCTTAGCCCCACCGCCAGATGTGTGGCCTCGGCAAGTTCCTGACCTCCCCGCCTCCTTTTCTGCATCCTTAACACGAGGATGAAAAGGATCCACCGCACAGGGGCGTGAGTGTGAACTGGTGTGTCCGGGTCACAAGCTCTGGGGCCTGTCATCTAGCAGGCAAGTGCACAGTGAGCGCCAGACTTCCCTCTCCTCCCCGTCAGGGGTCAGGTTCAAGGCCCAACTCTGGCACCCCCCCCAGCTCCTGGGGCCACAAGACTTTCTCTGACATCTCTCCGCTTTGACACTCCTCTCCTCCCTGGGTTGAGGCTGGTTCCTTGGCTGACCACCTGACGTGGCTGTCGCAGCCTTCGAGTTAGGAAAGCATGTCTGTGAGGAAGCTTGGGCTGGTCCACCCGCCCTTCACCTCGGATGGTTGTGGAACCCGCCCCCGAGAAGCGTGTGGACACAGAGCGGGGCCAGGGCTGTGCCTGGACCTGGACGTGCCGGACCCTGCCCCGGGTTCGGCTGTGGCCCGCCCTGTGTCACTGCCCTGTGCACATTCGGAGCCCTGGCGCTGCCCAGCCCGCCGGGGGGCCGCTCGGGCGGGAGTGGGCCGTCTGGGCAGACTTGTGTGCTGTGCACCTCGGACTCCTGCCTACACAAGACTCTTGCTGCCTGGCCCAGCCTCCCTGGGGAGCTCGGGGTCTCCGTCCCTCTCAGCGCTCGTGCTAGAGGAGGGGCCACGCAAGGCTGCCGTCAGCCACCCGTTCACGAGGGCGCTCACGTGAACCTCTTCTGCTTCCAGGGGCCTAACGTGATGGAAGAGCAAGACCTGCGGGAGATTGGCATCAGTGACCCACAGCACCGGCGGAAGCTGCTCCAGGCGGCACGGTCCCTGCCCAAGGTGACCGCTGACAGCTCGGTGGCCTCAGCCTGTGCCGAGACAGGGCCCTGTCCCCGACGCCACCTGGACCCAGAATAGGGAAGGAGCTTGGCTCCAGGGCATGCAGATCGCCACAGGCTGTCTGTCTCTCATTCCGAGGGACACTGCGGGCAGCACAGAGGCCTGTTTACTTTCTTGCCAAATCCCGGGACCCGGAGAGTCAGCAGAGACTAAGGACAGTTGGGGACCCGGTACAGGCTCTGGGGGGAGGCTCCAGACCCCTGCCCAGCACAGGAGCTGGTACCCACAGGTTTGGCCTGTCACCTGGAGCCTCTTGGGGTCTTTCCTGACTCACCGGAGACCAGGCCAGCCTGCACCGACCCCTGACGTCAGCCCCTCCCCAGGAAAGGCAGAGAGGTGCTCAGGGTGGCAGGGGAGGCAGTTTTTCCCTGGGGGAGCCAGGGGCTGGTAGGCCCAAGCCTCTCCCCCTCGACTATGGTGGTGCTAAGTCCAGGGTACCCAGAGCTGGGGAAGCATGAACAAGTCCCAGCAGTGGGGCCAGTGCCTACTTCACAGGAACATACCATGTTGTCCCACCAAGTCTGTGACCTTGTCATAGCTCAGTGGGAACCCCTCTGCAAACCTTTCTCCCATCGAGCTGTACCCACTAGGGCCGTCTTCCCCAACCCTGGAATGCTCCGGTGACGCCAGATGGGGGAGCCGGAACCAGAGCAGTGGTACAAAGGGCTGTGTGAAGGGAGGAGACTCTGGTCCTCTGGACTTTTGTCCCATGAGTGCTGAGATGTCAGTCCTACTGCCCCTTCTTGCCCCACAGGTGAAAGCTCTGGGCTATGACGGCAACAGCCCCCCATCAGTGCCCTCCTGGCTGGACTCCCTCGGTCTGCAGGACTATGTCCATTCCTTCCTGTCGAGTGGCTACAGTTCCATTGACACTGTGAAAAACCTCTGGGAACTGGAGCTTGTCAACGTGAGTGCAGCCTCTGCTCAGGCTGGGCCTGACCCCCGAGGGTGCGGCCTGGGGCTGGGAGGCGAGCTGCGGGTGCAGGTGTGGCCTGACCCCTCCTCTCACCCCTGCCCAGGTCCTGAAAGTCCACCTGCTCGGCCATCGCAAGCGCATCATCGCCTCCCTCGCAGACAGGCCCTATGAGGAGCCACCCCAGAAGCCCCCGCGGTTTTCCCAGCTGAGAGTGAGTTGGGGAGGGGTGGAAAGGGATCGGTGGGTGTTCTTCATATTGCTAGGAATTAAAGAAAATTCTTGAGAGATTCTTTAGAGACACTCTGATCTCTGTAGTAGAGGAGTGAACGATCCTTCCCCTCTTGTTGTTGGACCAGTTCTGCCCCTGGGCCCAAGGAGCACAGAGCAGGAGTTGTTGGGCTGGTCATTTATCAATTACATGCCTCCCATCTACATCAGAAGCTTGACGGGGCCTATAATAAAGGGTTCTGTTTAAATATATGTAGGAAGTAAAATGTTAGAAAAAGTAGCAAAGCAAATATCGAAATCCCAGCAGCTGCTGGTGACAGAGCCAGTGGGGCTGGCAGGGGGCAGGAGGAGCCCCCTTTCCAGCAGTCTGACGTGAACCTGAAACAAGGCTTGAAATCCACAGCGGGACCTGTGCCCTCCCCAAGTCTTTGGAAGGAAAATCCCTGCACTGGGGTGGGCTAGAGAACCTGTGGTTTTATTTATTTTTTTAATAAATTGTTTTTAATGTTTACTTACTTATTTTGAGAGAGAGAGAGAGAGAGCACAAGCGGAAGAAGGACAGAGAGAGAGGAAGACACAGAATCTGAAGCAGGCTCCAGGCTCTGAGCTGTCAGCACAGAGCCCGATGAACGGCTCAAACTCACGAACAGTGAGATCATGACCTGAGGTGAAGTCAGATACTTAACCAACTGAGCCACCCAGGCGCCCCTGATTTTATTTATTTTTAAGTGTTTGTTTATTCTGAAAGGGCTCGCGGGCACGCCCATGTGAGCACAAGCAGGAGAGGGGCCGAGAGAGAGAATCTCAAGCAGGCTCCACACTCAGAGCAGTGCCTGACAAAGAGCTCGATCCCATGTCCCTAGGATCATGACCTGAGCCAAACCCAAGAGCCACCCAGGTGTCCTGAGAACATGTGGCTTTAAAATCCTCATGGATGCTCTGTGCTGAAGCCAGATAATCCCTGACTGCAGGTTGGACTCTGAGGGCCCACGCTGAGGTCTGGGACAGGCTCTGTTCCCAGACCTGTGAGACTGAGCCCCTGACGAGCACTGGGCCCCGAGCAGGGCCCTCCGAGCCTCAGCCCATGGACGGCAGCCTCACGGCCTGGGCATTACACAGGAGATCGGCCTGAGGAGCCAATGCACAGCTGACATTCAGTCATGAAGACCTGAGGAGACAGGGCCTCAGGGTGTTGACTGGCAGCCTGTGTATTTTCTCAAAAAGAGCTTTGGATTTGGCCACGGGCCCCAGAGATCTTCAGTGGATTGTGACTGATGATTCCATCTTTGCTGAATATCAAAGTGGCTTCCCAGCCCTGTAACCATCCCTTTCTCCGTGTGGCTTCAGGCCAAGGAGGGCGCAAGTGAACTGGGGGTGCCCCCCGTGGCTGCTTGCCCGCCCTGCTTGTCGCCAGGGCTTCTTGACTCCGGGAAGAATTTGGTTGGTTTGACTGTACCTGGGCTGGGCCCAGAGGCGAGGTTCCCCACCGGCTCCTGGCCCGGCATGCCATCTGTTTGGTGCCTGCTTGGTGTTGGTCCTTAGCTTAATGCCCTTTCTGACGGGCACACCTGCCCACGCGGGGCCCTAACCAGCCCCAGGACTGGCTGACACCTCCGGTCTAGGGACTGATCTGATGGGTTCCAAGGTTTACCTGGGTTTCTCTCCGCTGCAGTGCCAGGACTTGCTCTCCCAGACATCATCCCCGCTGAGCCAGAACGACTCCTGCACTGGCCGCTCCGCTGACCTGCTGCTGCCTCCTGGGGACACGGGCAGGAGGCGGCATGACAGTCTTCATGACCCTGCGGCACCTTCTCGAGCGGAGCGCTTCAGAATCCAGGTGGGGCAGGAGGGGAGCTGTGAACGGGAGTCCCCAGACCCCTCCACTGCCCCTGTGTCCCAGCGTCAGCAGCAGGAGGAGGACCCCGCCTCCTCCCCCTCAGCCCCACCCAGCCTGTGTCTGGCGTCCAGCCCCGAGACTCCTCGGCTGTGACCACCTGGCTGTGGTCAGCTGCCACTGCGAGGGCCTTTCCTGTATCTAATGTGACCTCAGAAGTTCAGATCCACTGTCTCCTCTTTGACTACAGCCTCTCTCTTCCAGCCCCTCAGGCTACTGGCCCTGTTTTGCCGCCTCTTGGCCGCTTCTTGGCCCCCTCTTGCTTGTCCTGCCTGTGCCCCAGAACTGCTTTCTCCCCTCCTCATCTCCACACCCTGCACCCTGCCTGCCCAGCAGAACTGCAGCCTGGGTCAGACCCTGTTCTTCCTGGTACATTTCTGCAGCCCGGTGTCGGGCGCAGCTGGGAGACACATGTGGCTGTGCCATCTACTCTCACAGACCCACCAGCCGCTGCTGGGCCCTAGGCCGCCCTGAAGCCCTTGCCCTAGGTTGGCCCCATCCTGCACTCCTCGCTCGCATCTGACAGGGCATCGCGTTCAGGGCTCCCGGATGTATTCAGGCCTCACCTGTCCGGCTTCCTGCCTTGCACAGATTCCAGGCTTTGTCTCTTATCCCCCACCTTGGCCTGCTGGTCACAAGATTGACAGGTGTCCCTCATCCCCTCCCACCCCCCCACCCCCCACCGCTAAGGTGAACTTGAAATTCACTGCTTTTTCCTCTCTCCCTTTTTTTTTAAGGTTTTATGGAGAGAGAGAGAGAGAGAGAGAGAGAGAGAGAGAGAGAGAGAGAACACACAGCAGGGAGGGGCAGAGAGAGAGGGAGAGAGGGAGAATCCCAAGCAGGCTCCATGCTGTCACACAGAGCCCGACATTGGGCTCGATCTCATGAACAGTGAGATCATGACCTGAGCCGAAATCCAGAGTCGGATACTTAACTGCCTGAGCCACCCGGGCGTCCCTGCTTTTTTTCTCTTGCTCATACTTCTCCTCTCCAGCACCTGCGGATTTCCTTCACCTTTCACCAGCACAGCCATGACTTTGACGAGATTGGAAAAGCATGTTGTCCAAAAGTTTTAGTTGCTCCATATGAGGAGACTTCTGCACAGTGCTGGGAATGGAGGTCACAAATGTTTCCTAAATTTCTTCCCGCCTCCCCACTTCTACCAGTGCCCTGGTAGAAGGACCCCGTCACCTAGCACCTGGATTTCAGTGGCCTCCTACCCTCTCCCCCACCCCAGCTTCCACCTCAGGGAACACTACAGAAGGTCTCCCTAGCACTGGATACTTGCCCACCCCAGAATCACGTGGGGTGATCCCTGACTTGGATGTGAGGCTCCCAGGGACCTGGCTCCTGCTCCCCATCCTTCATGCTTTGTGCTTGTTTTCTCCTCTCTGGTTTTAGTCATTTCCCGTCTCCACCTCAGAGCCTTCCTGACTGAGCCTGCTCTCAGGTGGCTTAGGTCCTGCATCTCTGGCGGGGATGGGCCTCACCTTCGCCACAGTGCCTCTGCATGGTTTGTCTGTCCCCTGCCCTCCCCACCTGCTCTTGAACCCCTTGTAGCTGGCTTCTTTGCCCTTGGGTGGGCTGGAGCTCGCAGAGAGCCCATGAGTTCCTCTGGAGTGGGCAAGCAGACCTGTGACCCTGCGTGTTCTACAGGAAGAGCACCGCGAGGCCAAGCTGACCCTTCGACCCCCCAGCCTGGCCGCCCCCTATGCCCCTGTGCAGAGTTGGCAACACCAGCCGGAGAAACTCATCTTCGAGTCCTGCGGTTATGAAGCTAATGTGAGTTGCCCCTGCTGCCCCTCTCTCCTGGCCGGGACCAGGGCTCCAGTGCTGTTCTGTACGTCTCAGACACCCCCAGCACCTAGGGAGAAGGGGGGCCTCCCAGCTAGGATGGGGGAAGGGAGTTGGGAGAGGAAACCCTTTGGCTTGGTCCCAAATTGGTTGGGTCGCCCTGCATGATAACACAGGACTTCCTAAGCCCGGTTACTGCCTGCTCCTTCAGTATCTGGGCTCCATGTTGATCAAAGATCTTCGAGGGACAGAATCCACCCAAGACGCCTGTGCCAAGATGCGGGTAGGTTGTCCGGGGCGGGGCGGGGGGGGGGAGGGGGCCGGCTGGGATAGGAGGCATCAATTTGCAGCCACCTGGGCCCTCCCACGCTGTGTACAGGGGGAGGCCGGGGCCCGCGGGATCCAAGGGGCTTGGCCTTGAGAAGGGACATTTACAGGACAACTCCTTGTTTCGCATAGAAATCCACCGAACACATGAAGAAGATCCCCACCATCATTTTGTCCATCACGTACAAAGGTGTCAAGTTCATCGATGCCTCCAACAAGGTGTGCTTCTCACAAACACTATTGGCGGGAGGGGACCCCTCCCCCCATGCCTCACTCCCCCACAAGCTGGGCGTCATACCTAGGGTGTCCCCAGCCCTGTTTATTCCTCTTCATTGCTACCACCTCGCCCAAGTGCTTGCCACTCGGCTGCCACACATCCTGATCCCAGGACCCTGCCCTCGTGACAGGCGACTATTGTCTTCCTCAGCATGGGTCCTGTGGGCCTCTTACCTGTTCACGGGCCCTTCACGGTGTGATTCTCTTCATGAGCAAAGGGCTCCCCTGACACCCCGCACTTGGAACCCCACCCTCCTGATACCCTCACCCTCCCCGCCTCG